AATATGAAAATTTTTTAGCATCTCAAAAAAAGTAATATTTCAGTAGTGACATTATGTTTCATGGTGAAATTTTCAACAAACTTGGTTAATTTAGAACTTCAGGCAATTCTATAATTAAAAACATGATGAAATTCCTAATCGATTCAAATAGACCTTTTAGGCACACCTTGTATAACTGAATTTTTGTCAGAATGGAATTTTTTGAGGAGAAATTCCATTTTCAAACTAGTTATAGAAAGACTGATTATTGTTCCTATGCCTATCCATTTTTATGACAAACCCAATGCTTTGGCAATGTTTTCATGAAAAAAAAAAGAAATCATGCCAAGAATATTAATTTCTGCTACCATTAAAATATGCACATAATCAAAAAACTTTTGAAGGGTTCGCAGTTTTGATCATTGAGTTTGTCATATAGATTGAGTCTCAGGCACCTACATCAGTTTTTGTTTATCTAGTTTGGAAATAGGATTTTCCCTTTGAAAGTGCCCAATTTGGCCCACCCTGTACACTCTGTGTCCAAGATAAGAATGAAACAGTTTTCAAAATATCAGAAAATGAAATCATTTTAGAGATTTTTGTTTCAGACCTCCGATCAGAATTCTTGTTTTCAGATGGAGGAGTAATACCAAAATAATGATGGCCAAATAAGAAGAAAGGAAAGAATAGATACAAAATGATTATCAGTGAGAAAATAATACAACAATATAAATAATTACCTCTTATGGCCTGCAATTTATTAGTGTCCAGAGGTGGCCTGGCATCTAATTTCTTTATCCGGTTACTTGTTTTTCCAGTAAATGACGAATTTTTCAAAACATCAATCCCAAAGATTGCAACTGCTATATTTTTCACAAATTGGGCCCCAGATCGTGCGGACACAAGGCATGAATTATATGTGGACTTTTTGAGGAAAATATCTTGGCCAATATGCACCTGAAAATTTGAGATTTATTCAAGATTATAAGGAATAGATTGTCATTTTGCGACCATTTTTTATTTTTCCTGATTTTCTTTTCAAATGCTTTCATTAAATTGGAATTAGTATTGCATTTTCAAAAGAAGAAGGACGTGACTCACTCATTCTCATTTAATCCACAAGCAGAGTATTAACATTCGGCAGAATGACAACTGAAATTTCTTATTCATCTACCTACTCAGATCTGCCTTATACCATTTTCAAGGTCGAAGGTCATAAAAATATTACAGCTACATCAACCCCTATAGGATGTTCGATTTCATAAAATCACTCCTAAATGATAGTGGCAATAATTTTTTGAGGACAATAATGGGCGTGTACACCTTAGTAGAACTTTCAACTCAAACCATGTTTATAATGATCCTTTTTTACATAAATAACGATTGACGACATAATTCCATCTAAAAATCAACTGGAATGTTCTATTTTTGGACATAAATAATAGTACCTTCTGAAAACAGACCCTCTTTATGACGTATGACCTCATCTCGCCTGGAACCAATGAGCGTGACCCATAGAGTGACCAAAGGTGGATAGATCTATCGAGATCTATCCACCTTGGAGTGACCCATGTGTGACACTCATCACTGTTGCCATATCATCTAAACAAAATATCCGAGAGATCGAAATCGATAGGGTAAAGTGGGGTAACTGCGACTACTAAAAAGCAAAAATATAATGTTAATTCCGATAATATCATCATTTATTGATGAATATGTTTCATATTTCATGGTGAGGTAACTGAAAGTATCTGCTTTCAAATCATAATACTCTGCTACGAAGAAAGCATATGTGGATGGATACAAAAAAAATATTTTTTTTTTTCAGACCCTAGTCGCACTTGCCCCACACTGAGGGAAAAAATTTGTAGCCGTTACTAAAAAATTAGTTACTACATAAAATTTTTTTAGTACGATAAGGGACAGCAATCATTAGTTGTTGCCATAACTAATTCTGTTTTTCTGGAAACGCCTATTTGCCTCAAATGAAAAGTTTAGTTGAGTCATCTACGACGTTGTTGTGGTAACTAATAAGCCTTTTTAAGGAATAATACCAAGTTTTATTTGCCACAATCAAGATACATAGTTATGACAAATAGATTGTTAGTAGTGTTTCAATATATGTTTGTTATCACAACAAATTATCCCAGTTGGGGCAATTACTCATTTCTTCTGACATTAATAGTGAGTGTGTTGTTGCAAATTAAATATTTAATTGTGACTGAAATGGAATCTAGTTACTATTAAAAGTGATTTAGTAACGTTTGAAATATAATTTAGTTATTCTGGCAACTTAATAGTTTTATATCAATTAAAATATTTAGTTGTCACTAAAAGTTACTTAGTTGTTATTGCCAATATTTTCTAGTTGATGCAATAAAAAAATCAATGAGTTGAAAATGTTCATGATCTTTGATTATACAGGGTGAGTCAATAGTGTTACAAAGCGAGACAGCAGCTCTATTAGAAATGGAAGAACAAATTTTTCACAAGAGTTGTAAATTCAAGATGTGCATATTTTAAAATTATTTTACAGTGAGTCGCAAAAAAATGTGACATTATCAAACTTGTATTTTCTTAAATGGAACACCCTGTATTTTATTGCATTTTTATATTCTCTCTGAAGGGCTGATTCAATCGATTTATCACACTTGGGGTCTAGCGGGAATGATTACCGGGATATAATAGGGTGTGGAAAATAGAGATTCTTCAACTTTAGAAGTTTTTTGTGTCCAAACCATTCATTATTGGTCAAAACAGCTTCCATGTTCCTATCTTGAAGATAGGGCCATGGAAGCCGTTTTGACCAATTATGAATGGTTTCGACAAAAAAAAATCCTGAAGTTGAAAAATTTTCCAGACCCCATATCTCGGTGATCATTCCCGCTAGACCCCAAGTATGATAGATCGATGAAATCAGCACTCTAGAAAGAATATAAAAATGCAATAAAATTCAGGGTGTTTCATTTAAAAAAACATAAGTTTGATGTCACATTTTTTTGAGACACACTGTATAATGGGAAAAAATTTCAAAAAATGCATCTCTTGGACCTACAACTTCTGTGGAAATTTTTTTCTTCCATCTCTTATAGCAGACCTGCTATATTGCTTTGTCACACTATTGACCACCCTGTATTTCGACCCCCATAAAGAGCCTTCATTATCAGAGATGGAAAGAAATATTTCAAATTGTAAGTTATACTAAAATCATTTTTCTTAGTTACCAGTAAGATGAAATTCGCAAACGGAGAATAAGCTGTCATTTTTTCAATACGAGTCCAACTAAGTACTTGAATACTTACAAAATTCAGATTTAAAGCACATCTTTTTTATACAAGTGATCATGAAATGAATGAATGAATGAACACATTTGTACTTACTCTCTCAATTTATTTCAGTTAATATTCATACAAAATTGACAAGACATCATATTTTGAATATTATATACGAAAACTCAGTCTTATAAATCCAGTGATTTCCTTTGAATAGGTTGCTATACAAACATAATATATTTTATTCTGAAGACAAACTGAAAATGTCTTCTGAATACAGTAATTATTAATACTGATTTCTAAGGTTTCTTTCGAAGAGCTACTAAACATAATATTTTTTCAAAAAATATTGGTCTAAAATCAACATAAAATATCAGATTCTTCTTAAAAACGAACTATCACTAATAATCATCTTGAACTTAAAAAAAAACGTAATTTCACCATTTATATAATTCTAATAAGGAACTTTGATAGCAGTTATCGTTATTTAATAATAGCATTCTTCCAGAACAGAACTAACACTGATAATCATCTTGAACTTAAAAAAAAAACGTAATTTCACCATTTATATAATTCTAATAAGGAACTTTGATAGCAGTTATCGTTATTTAACAATAGCATTCTTCCAGAACATTATCAGGTGCGATACCTCAAATGAAAATATTAACATAAATGACATTATTTCGATTAATTGCAGTATATGTTTTTTTGTGAAATATGTCTGGAAATAATATACACCTTATATCATTTGTGAGTGATATTTCATAAGCAAATAAATGTTCATTGAATCGTAAAATTATGACATGTGTATAAATAATACAAATTCCTTCATTAGAATTGGTTATCATAGTCTGAATACGTCCCAAAATGGGAGGATTTGTATTCTGTAATAGAATAATGTCTTTTATCTACAACTATGGAGTCATTCATACATTGCTTACTCGATTTTCGACATTTAATGACAGACATTATTGTGATGAATCGAGTAATAAGAGTAATGATGACAGTAGGGTGGCGTAATAATCTGACATCCCATCGTCTTGTCAAATTCAACTAGGTATGTATTCGTTCTATTAGTTCGCAAATTCAAAAGACCCACCTTACCATGGTTCTCCTAGTTTTAATCACCTTTCTACAAATATACGGAAAATTGAGAATTAACTGTTTTCCATCCTCAACAGTGACAACCATCATGAGTAACCATAACTATAAAATAGGACTTGACACTTGCAGATTTGCTCACACTAACACTAAGATGGCTACAGGCTTTTCGAATAGATTAGTACAAACCAATCAGAACCATGGAATTTAATTGTTCACAACCAGCTTCTAGAGACAGGGTGCTACAATTAATCATCGCGGTAGGGGAACGTTACAGCGGGAGCAAGTTAATGAATAATCTGCAATAGTATGATTCATTTTGCAACTGAAAAGTGAAATGGCATATAATACCTGGTAAGATTGACTGATATGTGATTGCACGACTTCCACGATATCCAACATTGTTTATCATATTTTCACAATCAAATTTATTGAAATAAGGTAATAATAATAAGCTGTTCGTTGAATGAAATTTTTGTCAAGAAGTATTCTTTGAAATTAATGAGTATTTCAAATCAGATTTAGTGATTTTGCAATATGATAACCTTCATTTTTTGATTGCTGAACTCTCAGAGTTGCTTTGATATTCGAATAGTTGTAGATAAAGTATAGTATTCAACTTGCGCATAATGACTATTACCCACTCAGATGATTACAGCACTCGCCTTCGGCTCGTACTGCAACTTTCATCTTCGTGGGTAATAGCCATCATTATGCGCTCGTTGAATAATATACTATTTCTCTGAATGTTTTATTATTGAATACTACTTTGTAAGCTTCAGATACAGTACCTTGAAAATCTTCCAATATATAGGATTACTAACAATCTCGATCTAAGTTTTCATTTAAATGAGGCAATACCAAATCGATGTGTTTATTTTTGTTTTTAGTATAACATATTATTTGGTGGTTTTGAAAGCCCTCTTCGCTAAGAAAACGGGAAATTAGTTGAAGTTGATGTTTTATGGCTAACGTTTTAGTGAGATTCACTCTTGAGCAAACAACATTGGCGGCTAACTTGGAAAGACGGTGTTTTGATTCAAATCTTAAAGTCATCAAAGAATTCAAAGGCCCCACTTTTTCCATAACAAATGGATAATGCGTAATTATATGACATTTTGGTGTCAAAGGTCTAAATAATTCGATAAACAATGAATGATGTTGATATATCAACCTCCCTAACTCTTTTATTGCATTTGGTGAGACACTGTCACTCAATGCAATTTTTAGAATTTTCCTCAACAGTATGTAAATTATCCAATACTTGTTGCCTTCAGGGATCAAGTAACCAAAAAGTAGTCCAGCATTTAGAATAAATGTTCTCATTTCAGATGCAGACATTTTGAGCGTTTTCTTTTTTAAATTATCAAATGTTATAATAGGAGGTCTATTAGAATCATTACTGAAATCAAAAAATCTTATTTTGTTATTTAAAATTTCTAACTGAAAAAATCTGTCAACAACAATAAATTGATGAAGCAAATGACCCATAACTAGGACACCAACGCCTTCAAAAATATCGTGAGCAATATCGACTCTGTAATTTTCTGTGACATGAAATAATTGAATGTTGTTCAAAGAACAAGAGCGTTTGACACCTGTAACAGAACTATTGTTGATTATCAAGTCCTCTTGATAATTAGTCCTATTCCTCAATTTACTATCGATCTGAAAAGATTGTTCTTGAGTTACTGGTCGTAAACATTTACAAAATCTACAAAAAGAATTAGCACTGAAACTTTCTTGAAATCCCAATAAAGTATTCAAACCCAGATTATCCCCTAAAAATAAAGCAAGACAGAAAAAAATTCGAATTTCACTAGATGCTGTTTTCATCAATATTCCATTTTGTTTCAGTTCATTGACCTCTTCAATGAATTTAGAAAAAATTATTGCTTCACCAAAATCCTTTAAGTCACTTGAATGAAAAAGCATGACAATGAAAATATTATTCAGTCTTGCTTGAAATTGGGGTGGCAAACAAGGCACAGAATAATAAACTGCCCCAATTTTATGTATTCCTGCATGAGACCCCAATGGGTTACCACTCTCGTAGTCATCATAATAAACAAATAAAGGAAACACAATGGCATCCTTATCAAAATGAGAACATTTTTCTTTCCAGTACTCTGACTGAATGATGTTGCAAGTGTTTTTTTCGTCTTTTAATTTTTCACAGTATTTCAAAGTGTCATTTAACACATTAGGTATTTCAAAAAACTTTTTCAAAACAGATGACATAGGTATGAATTGAGCAGTATAATTTTTTACAAAAGGTGGAAGCCCACTACGTTTTTCTAATCGCTGTCCAACAACAAATTGCATTGGAGGAATATATAATCCTTTTCTTTCCAAGAATTGAAATCCCAAATATTCACTTTCAAAACTATCAAAAATACTGTCAAATTGATTAAAAAAGTTCCCGATCTGATATCTCTCTTTTTGGGTAAGTGTTGTCAAATCATTAAGTAAATAACTTTTGAAATAAGTAAAAGGTGAACTAATAAGATTTTTAACTTCACCCACAATCATTTGAATATCTTTTCGTCTAATAGTAGACTCTGAGTACAATCTACTCAAAAACAGAACGTTATTGAGAGTCAAATGTTCTTTGAACTTCAAGAAGGGATCTTGTTTCTCATGAGAATCACTATTGGGACGAATAGATGTTACAGGGAGGCTATCAATATTTGAAGGCTCTTCCAAAATGATATTATGTTTACCACCTAACAAATCTTCAGAAACTGATATAGACAATGTAGGCCTACATTCATGTCACTTCAAATGCTTACGAAATGAATTCACGGAAGGAAAACTCCTGTGACAAGTTGGCTGCCCACACAGAAAAGTGCTACTGTCATGCAATTGATGAATAATTTTCAAATGATTAATCAACGAGTTTATCTTAAAATAAGATGTTTTACATAAATAACAATTCATTATTCAAGTTCATCTATTTTTTTATAACCAGAAGAATGCTAATATTAATAGGTACATACACGACATACACAAACTGTTTTGAAGTCAGGGATTACCCATCAGATGGAACACTGACGTTTAGCTGATATTTTATATCTGCAACTACAGAAGCAGTGCAAGAGTTTTTTTTGCTTGGGCACATATTAAATATCATTTCTCCAATGAACAACCATATGTGTTCAGATTCTGATGGGTATTCAACATCCAATGAATGAAATAATTTGAATACCAGTTCGAGAGCCCTAATACAACTATTTAGTTTGTATCTTATTTCATTGTCTATTATGATGTAGTATTGTAGATTTCTGAACTCACCAGTTACAACAACAAATGGTTGAAGGGTGATGTCGAACTCTTCCAGCTTCTTCTTTCTTCTTGAATATATTAATTCAATCTCATCAAAATTCTGCGAAAAAATTGAATACTTTTTTGAAATGTTTCAAATTCAAACATTACTTCTATTATAATATTCATAATATGTTAAATAGAGAATGGGTGAAAGCATTTTAAAAAATGATTTGAAAGTTGAATTCGTCGAAAGCACAATCAACTGGGATACAATTGACATCAAGCACAACTATTCCAAAGCAGTATCAGTTTTGCTTATATTAGTTAGTTTTATTAGATACTCTTTTGCACAGGATAAAGAACAAAAGAAAAATCTCAATTAACTCTATCATCAACTAGTTAAAAATAATAGTTTGTAGGCTATGCCATCCGTGAAACTTATATTCATCAAGATGAGAATGATAGAGAATATGTTTGATATCATTTCCTTACCTGGATGTAAACAAATAAACTATTTACAATTTCACTCCTTGTGGGTCGCCAGGTTCCACATTTTCGGGACTTTTTGAGTGTAATTGGTGCAAACAGATATGGCAATGCCAGTAATCCATGCAAAATGTCATCTAAAATCAAATTAGATATAAGTATAGCTAGCAAATAATATTGTATAGTAAAACTACTTTCTTGACATTCAATGAATGAAGCCATGAAGAAAATTAGAAAATGAAGCTTTTGAAACTAAACTCTTTGAACTAATTAAGAATAAAAATCCATCAGGTGTGTTAAATCCCTGTAGTGAGTTGAATTGAACTTCGAAGCTTTGAAAAAAAAACATTATGTAATGCCAATGCAAAAATGCCATACTTTTCATAAATAAGATATTAAATATATGTCACTAGATATACCATATCAAATTCTTTTTAGGACAAGAGATATCTTACTGTTATACAATATTATAGATTACTGTGAATCAAGTCATGACCCAGTCCCAAATATCAAAAAAACTTTTTGAAGCTTATCGAAAATACAACATATAGGTTTTTTTTGAAAAAATTATAATAAGAGTATATAGATGTGATTCACACAAAACAACTACTTTCATGGCTAATACCACAGAATATTGAATTTATATGGTGAATATTGGAAATAACTTGTACAAGAATCTCTTATTCCTGAGAATTGATTCTTATAATTATGAAATCCAGATCATAATAGAGACAATTTGTATACAATATTGAAGCATAATAGACTATCAAATGAAAAGGTACCTATGTAGGTACAGTTGACTCAAAAACTACAACTTGTGGATCTATATACATAATAATATAGCACATTGTTTTGAGTTGAGATTAACAGATACTTTCTGTGGCAAACAAACCACAGAAAAACTATTATATTTTTCTCTTCACATTGTTGAAGAAATATTTGATAATTCCTGGTGTTGCTTTTCAATTGAGAACATATAAACATGGTGAAAACTTATAATAATTCTATTCTTACCAGTACACTGCACACCTTCCAATACGTTAATCTTTTTCTCTTTTACTTCCTTATTTATTGCCTCAATCACTTTTGGTAAAGTATTATATATTAAGTCAATTTTTTGGGGAAACTTCTTATTAAAATCAGTTTCAATCTGTAAAATAATAGAAATATCAACTGATATATTAATTATATTCATATCCTGTTTTGTCACTCCATAATTTCAAGTTGTGTACACTCCCATATCAATATGAAACTCAAAATTATATATTACAGCATATTATCCATATCTAAATGCTAGCTACACTCACCAGTTCAATGCCACTATTTAATTTCAAGCATGGAAAGTCTTCAAATATTTTATTCAGTCCAACATGCATGTACTCTTTTCTCCTGATTTTGAAAGTCTCCTCCCAAGCTTCTAAAATTTTAGCGTATGGTTCAGTAGCTACCTTAAGGAAGTCTAAATATGTTTTTTGTTCATCAGTTTTTACTGGATCTAAATTCTCTCTGAGTTCAACTTTTTTTGTTTGTTTGCCGATTTGAGTGCTGATCGTACATTTATATATCTATACCATAGTTTTCCCTTAGGCCCCCCTTCTGAAGATGGTATCATATATATATCTTTTTGCTCATTTTTAAAAATCATCAGGATTTCTTCAACAGCTTTTTGCAGGATTGTTGATTTTAAACTGCGATACAAAATCAAGATGAGTTTAAAAGACATGTAGGATTTATTTAGATAGAAGTACAGAGATGAATCAACACAAAATACTGTCACACACAACAAGAAATGAATGAAGTCCCATTAGTTTTTCCTTAATAAGGTATATGTACCTAGGTACTTAATTTCTTACAAATAACACAAAAAAATTGTTTCAGCCAAAATTGAATGTTAAGTAGGTATATACAAATTTACATGTTATTATTAACTTTATAGAGAAACTCACTCAATACCATGCAAAGAGATAAGTCCACCAATAATTATCTTTGATAATTTTTGCCTATGGTCATTATTCAGCTTGTTTCTATTGAGCAGTACAATCTGTCCATCTGACGATTTTTGGAGCAGTGATTCCAAGCCCTGTAAAAAAATAATATCTGAATGCCTTCACAACCTCTAAGGCAAAACATTAACAGAAGCATTTGAACTAAAAACATCTACACTGTTGTAATTGGAAAATGCAAATTAATAGACTATCTTTACCTCAGGAAATACAGATGTTCTCATCTTTTTGTGATATAAATCATCAGTCATTTGTTCCAGTTGGCGTTTTGAGGTTTCACCTACACAGCTAACAATTATTTCTTTTTATTTGCACATTCCTCAAAATGAGACAAAGCTTGTACAAGCTCATTATCAGGTTCAAAAATGTAGTTTTCTGTCTGTCCAGTGTAATGTGTACTAGATAAACTCGATAGGGTGTCTGTGGAAACTACCGAATCTGTATCAGTCACTTTGTTAGTTGACTAAAAACAAATATGATATAAGTAACCTGCATACTTACAATGTATTATTTGTTAATTTTGATATAAACACAAAAAATCAAAAACCAAATATGACAAATGATGCTGACAAGGCATCATCCTTTGCATTGGAATAGGTAGTTATTTGTTCTACTAGGCAGAAAAGTACAAGACTTAATGCGGCGGCTGGTGTTTCATAGCCGAGGCTAGGAAACCAACCAAGGCAATGAATCTTCTTTTCTGCCGTGTGAAACATAAGTATAATTTATTCTTCAAATGACATTAAAGTAGCTTTTGTATTCAAAACTCATCCTTTCATGTTCATCCAATGTCATTGTCAATTTTGATTATTTTTTACTTGGAACATTGCATAGCAACAAACTTTTTCTGCCTAGACAGAAAAAGTCCACCTTTTCTGCCTGTCAAGTACCATTGAGGACTAATTTTAATGTCATTTGGAGAACAATACATTTTTTCTTCTATGAAGTTGTCTGCTCAGTTGTTTGTCAACTGAGTGAGTAGGTATCATAATATGGATGTTATTCATGAAGAATTAACCGAGTTGGATTTTTGTAAAACAGTTGAAAATTGGTGTGGGAAATAATATTATACAAAATTGGTCTGAATTTACAGGAAAAATATAATAATCAATTGAATGGACCTCGGAATTGACAAAGTTGATAATATGAAATTAATACGTTATCCCAGACGGCACCTCATATTCCTAGAATATGCCTACTACATCCAATTTTCCAATGAATATTGCATTATCCCTGGAATATTCCATGAATATGTGCTTGATCTAATATCCTCAAAAAATATTCCTGAAATATATTTTTCGAATATTCATTAGATATCCCCAAAGAATATTCCCTGAATATGTTTATCGAATATCCATTAGATATGCTTTTCGAAAATTCCAGGAATATTTCAAAAGCAGATTGTCGGAATGTCGACCTATGCCGAATGGACACGACACGTGTCTGTCGGTCATCGCCTTTTGTTCCACATTCCACAGTCACCTAGTGAAGGACGTGATATCAACATTGCCTGTATTATAAACAGACGAGAAGAGCATGGAATTATTAGTTTAAGCAGAAGTGCTAGAATGTGTATCGATTACTGTGAATAGTGTTGACATCAATATAAAGTTCCAGACGTTTGAAGTTAGTTACAATTCTACAATTCAAAAATGGAACATAAACTTGATGGCACTCAATACCAGTATGAGGTATAAGTACCTAAGATTATACATTAATGGCTTCATATACAGAGTGTATCTATATAACATCGAAAAAATGAAAGGGGTGATTCTGTGATGAGAATGAAGGTATTTGGTATAGAATTTTTCGATAACCCTCTCAACCCCGGAATATTACACACATACGAAGATAAAAAAAACATGGTTTTTATTTTTTAACTTCCCTACTGTATATTTATTTTATTTTTTAACTTCCCTGTATATTTAGTTAAAGACACGAAACTTGGTAAATATCATGTGTCAATAAAACTACACATTTTGAAATGTTTTACACCCTGAAGTATATGCTTAGAAGGGGTTGAAATATATTTATTTCACAATTTAAAAAAAACAGCTGAAAAGCCCAATCCATTCACTAACTTATTGTTGATCTCTGGAAAAGCATTCGCCATGTGTTTTTTTGCAAAAAGTTGTAAAAAAAATATCTTAAGCGTTGACTATTTCAAGCCCTTCTAAGCATACTTCAGGGTTGAAAACATTCCAAAATGGGTAGTTTCATTGATGAATAATATTAACAAGTTCTGTGCCTTTGGTCATATACAGAGGAAATAGAAAAAAACATTTTTCTAATTTTGAGAAGGGTGTTATTACTATTCCGTGAAGAGATTACAAAAAAAAATGCATACCATACGCCCACCTCAATTTTCATCACGAAATCACCATTCGAAATTTTTCTCTGTTATTAAGATACACCCTGTAGATGCACCTCATTTTTTTCAGTACTTACCTATATCGACCCATCTGTCAAATGGAAAATCCAGGGAATACTCGTGTTGTTGAAGATACAATAACGTGACAAAGAAATAAACAATAGATTGAAATCAGCTGATTAACTCAGATGTTGACAAATTCAGTATCTAGTTCTTTCAACTTTTGTAGCACGCCCAGAGCAAAGGTGAGTGAATTCAATCAATTTTTATATTCTAGTATTTGCTATTTTATAATCATTGCAGATCCTGTTGAATTCATCACCGCTACCGTTCAAGAGAAGAAGACAATCATATGATATGATATATAAAGTGCAAGCTTCAAGTATTTTACAATCCTACATCCTGTATGTTGATTTCAATCTTTTACATAATAAATTACATTTCATATAGATATTTATTCATTCTAGTAATGATTGAGAAGCATATTCTATGCATATACAAAAAAACATATTCCTAGTATATGCCACCAATCTCTTTTGGAAGATTCACAGATATTCCTGGCATATGTTTCATGGTGACTTTGGATATTCCTGGAATATGCATATCATATGTTTTGGAGGACATGGAATATCCATGGCATATGGCAATATTCCAACGCGATATGCATAGGATATTCATGGAATATGATTGTGCCGTCTGGGATGCCAGTTTTTTTTTTTCAATTTAAATATGGATTCGAATCGAAATTAGACTTTTAAGTGAAGTTTTTTCATAACATCAGATTCTAGAGTTCCTTCAGGTTTTGTAACTATCATTCAGGTGGCAATCCGAGGGATCTATTATTTTCCCGGATTAGAGCTTTCTCAAGGGTAGGCCGCTAGCCCTTACAAGTGGAGAAGGGTCGTGAGTAGAAGTGATGTTAAATATGAGCGCCACCCGCTTTATTCTACCCTCGAGAGAAATTTCTTGACTTTTTAAGAAAACGGGAACCTATTCCAGGAGTCCGAGAAAATAAAAACCCAAATTCAGATATACAAAATATATTCGGGAGAATATGACATCTTCGCCAGCATTCCCTAACAATACATCAATCTATCTATTTAAACTACACCAAAGTTCAACTTATCGAGCATAGATAATAATTCAAATCCGCCGCAGATTGATAACTCAACTCTCTACTCGTCGATACCAGTGGAAAACGCTCCAATCAAACGAACGTACCTTAAAGCTGCACTGATCTACACTGACGGGCACCGATTAAAAGGAACGCACCTATCAAAGGAACAGACCTAGAATCGGCACTGACCTACACTGGCAGGCACCGATTCAAACGAACACGCCTATAAAATGAACAGACCTACTCTAAGCCACGGAACGAACATACCTACTTTGACAGCTGATCTGAACCGAGCCAACTAACAACAGAATCTTTATTAATGATTATAATGACATTGGACACGGTCAACAAATTATACAGAAGGTCACTAGAGTTGACAAATTATTCGTGTCACTTATGTAATAGGACTAATTGCACAAGGAAATAATAATAGATGGGTAAAGACTGGTCACTCAACTGTACCTAATTATGTAAGCTTCAAATGTATGAATTTATTCCCTGGCGGAAAACTATCTACATAAGCAAGATCTAAACAATGGCTGAGCAATATTTAAGCAATGTTTACGCATTATATAAGCATACCCAAGCAATATCCAAGCAAAGCACAGCAACCAATGAAATGCATGGGGACTTACCTTCAGTATAGCTATACCAAGGGCTTACAGAGTCCTACAGGCTCTTAAACCAAAATATAAGTACTTGAGATATCTCAGAGGGTAATAAATATACAAGTATCAAGATAGTGTAGCAAAGTCATGCAGAGGTATTATTGTTATGATTTTAAAGTTATCATGGAAATAGGTAAATTATCCTTAATCCTAGGGCTTATCTGTTAAGTTCCTGATGCTCTTGAAGTTTCAGTAGCTCGATCATTGTGGTAGTAGTTACATTCCATCAGTGGGATGAGAGTGGGCTAAGCGCTGACAGGGAATGACATGCAGGTAACAGTGCAAAGCAAAGCAGGTACAAAAGTGAAGAATGATTTGAGGTGAAACCCCAAAATCTCAAGGCCTAAAAGAGTATTTCATATCAACAGAGGGTCAAAGCACAGGTAGTTTGTATATGCAGAAGCAACACTTCCAGTGACTACAGCTTACCTTGGATGTGAGGGGGCCTAAAAGTGAGTGTCAGACTGGTCAGAATGAGGTTATGGTCTTCAGTGCAGTGAGATTCTCAGCTTTCAATCGATTCAATTCAATCCCACAAACTGTGGTTTATTACTAGACGTTCCACCGTCAACAAAGTAATAATTGTACAAATTCGATGAGCAAATCTCACTTGTTAAAATCCACTCAAATAAGAGTGTCGCCTCGTTCGGAATCTCAAATTCACCAAAACAAAATGGCTCCTTTTAATTGACCAAAATCCCGTTTCGTGAATCGTGGCAGGAAGATAAAAGATATGATGACGTAGGCCCGCCCTTAGATCATCTATATTTGAGACTCTAGAAGTCATATTTCATAGAACATCCAGGTGAACCCATTTCGTGCGGTTGACGTCACTTCATGGTACGTAGAAGAAATGGACTGCTTCAAGGCGTACAGATGAATTGTTCATGCTTTGAGAAGTATGTTATAAAATCATATTGAGTATACTGAGTGATTTAATTTTGGAAGAATAGACCTGTAACAACGCCACCCCTTCCTGAGAAAAGTTTCAAAGAAACTTTTTAAAATCTACGGTAGAAATTATATCGATGGATCTGGAGAGAGAGGCTATATACGAAAATACTTTAG